TTGGGACCCCAAGAGATACATTTAATTAAGAGTATCCTGAGGGTTATCTTCTGCTTATCCCCCTGGAGTAAAACCCATATGGTGAGCGTTAATTAGGTTGGCAAGCATTCGATTAAGCTACATCACCAGTACTCTAAATTTATGACTGACTGTATCTCTTAATGGCGTTGTTAGGAAATGCCCTTAAGCTGTCTAGTCCTGCAATCAAAGACATGGTATCCTGTATCTGAAGGATGACATCTCCTACAGCGTAGCGTTCCCAACTAGTAGTAGAGGTCTTTGCTGTCTCAGAGAAGCATGCTGTTGTCTCAATTTCAGTATTGAGTTGGCAGGCATGCAAAAATCATGAGTCAGGCCACCAATAACATAATGCTTTTGGGTTTGTGATTTGGCTCATCTTGCGTGTGTCGTTGTCGTGTGTGTCGTGTCCCGCCCCCCAGGCTATACTTGGATCATATTTTCAAGCTCTTCTCTGAAATAATGAATGCTAAGATTTTATTTTTTAAAAAAACCCTGTAAAACTAAGATTTTAAAGTAAATTGCATGATTCCTAAAGCTGACACCAAATACGTGGAGGCTCAAAATTGCAGGCATTAGTAATGCTGCAGACCCAAACGTGAGTTGTAGCAATCTGCATTTCATTGAGAAGTATCCTGTTAAAAAAGACAGTTCTTTGAATGCACATATTACTTATGGTACTGAACTACATTCTGTCTTAACTTCTCAAGACATTTATGGCCAATTAAAGCTATAGCAAAAGTATGGAGCGAGCCAGAATTCTACAGGTTTTACCACAATCTTTTATTAAGCTTCATTTCCAAAGGTCTCACCTAAAAGACAAATAGAATTAAATAGACATGCAACATTGCTTATGAAAAATTAAGCAGTTACCCTTATAGTCCAATACCATAAAGCTTGATTTATTTACATATTTTAATGTGAACAAGAGAACATTGTAGGCAGATCATTCTGTACATTCAGCCAACATAGGAGCTGTATTCCACAGCATTAAGTTACACGTAAGATATACACTGAGAACGTATTAAGTGCTCTGGTGCATTGAAAAGCCACACAGTGTGGAGGCAACAGACGTCAGTTCACATTTGATAAAAGAAGCTAGGAGATAGAGTGTCATGGAGCTATTCTACCATTAAAGGAGACAGCAGTCACCTGATTTTTGTGCACACTTTTTCAGCTCTCGATGCTGAAAGATGCTGCGCATTTGGAAATCTAAGCGTATTCTGCTGTCTACAGTGCCCTACCTCTCTGGGGATCAGTCCTGAATAAACTGAAGTTTTGATGTAGATACGTTAACGTGTGCTGTACACCAACAGATTATTTTTCACACTGCAAGAAGGACTAGAACGTGGCATGGGGGTCCTCTCCTTTAAATCTTCATATGCTGTTTAGCTGTAAATGTTTGCTGCAATTCCAGGCATGGCCATTGTCACCTCAGACTAACAAATACTCTGTAAAAAGTATAGACTTGAGGGTACAAATAGCTTCCTGTTTTCAGCTTGTAAGCTCTGAACTAGAAGGGAGGCAAGGAGTTTATTTCAATCCTGAGCTATACCCTCCCACTGCTAGAAAGAGCACAGAAGTCCTATAGTCAAGTTTAAACAGATGTTTGGCTTCTAGGGACCCTGTTCATGCCTTCTCAGCAACAGAGATGGCAGCTGTAAGACTATTGAAGAGCAGAAAATAAAATCTTTTGGAAGCTTGGGAAAAGCAAGAAAGGGGGAAGTGCATAAAATAAAAACAAAAAAAACCCCCACATTTTAAAATTCAAGTATCGAATCTAGGCAGCAAGCAGGAGCAAGGTGCAGTCTGACAGTCCTACTGTCATGCGTACAGTGGCTAACACGGACTGGCCAAAAAAAGCAACCCTTACAACATCAGTGCACTGACTTGAGGCCGATAGCCCAAGGAACACGTCAGGCTCTACTGATGTGGCACAATGGAGTAATCAAAAATATTGTGATTTATGTGCTGTAGAAACAGACATCACCTCCCTTGGAGTCCTTTGTCAGGAAGTTTCCAAAAGCAAGTCTCACTGCAGGTAAATGGAACTGTCATTATTAAATAGAATTATTTAAACACACACAGACTGTGTAAATAAAACATGGTTATATAAAGCTTTGGAGCAGGCCTCTTGCTTTTAGAGCCTTTGGAAAAAAAAACAAACAACAAAAAACAAACGAACAAAACCAAAACCAAACCAAAGAGCCAAAACAGCACAGCAATACAAAAGCTGAGGTTATGGCTGGAAGAAATTTCACTCAGAGCAGAAGCAGCCACATGCTGACAACTGCAGGCTCTCTGGCAGAGCGGAAGGTCAGGCCAGGAGTCAGTCAGTGCCCAGGCTGCAGGGCTGTGGAGAATCCAGGCAGTGTACCGCCAAAAAAAAAAATAAAAAAAAATGAAAAAAAAAAATCCCTGAATCAGCCCACAAAAGACAGTACAAGCAGAGGCCCCACATCAGAGTAGCTTTCTCCCCCAGCAAAGCACTCTGTGCGTCTCTCATGATGTGAGGTCCTACGATTAGGAGGAAAACCTAACCAGCCATTTACTATCTGCAAAGTCTGCACACCAGTCAACTGCAGGTTTTAAATACTACTGAGAAACTAAGAAGTGGGAAAACTACATTCTGTTACACATAGGACCATCCTAATAACAGAAGTCAACAGCAAAACATTTAGGCCCTTCTGATTAATTATTTTATACCACAGCAACATCTGTAATAATTAAACACAGAGAATATGGCCATGTAAAAAGTGGCGTTTGTAGCTACGCATGGTTTAGCACAGCCTGTTTTAAAACCATATGTTTCTGTGGTTTCAGAACTAATAGGTCAAACCAGCTACTGCCTCATTGATTACAAGGGAAGAGATAAGAAAAGCCAGCATTCTTGTACCCTTCCCATTCAGCCTCCCCTGTACTACTTTGTTTTGTATTGTTAATGAACAAAAGCTGCACATAAATCCACAAACAATTGATTACCCGGCATACAAAGCCAAAGGTAGTAAATCAGTGTCACTGAAACTCCAACAAGATTAATGTTCTGGCAGTATTAGCCCATTAACGTTGTTATCTTAAAGACAAAAAGTATTGAGGGTAAAAGAAAAGCTGTTATTTCTTGAGGTGTAAGCTGTAGTGTGGGGGATGCCACTGATAAGATCTCAATTGTCAGCCATGCCAAGTTGGTGAAGAAACTTCACATATAGGCACACGTACAGCCACTAGGCATCTACTCTTTGCAGGGGGGGAGGCTATAATTTTTCTAAGCTGCTCAAAAATGCCAAAGCAAGCTCAAGAGTTTCCAGATTGAATTAGTATTCATAGCTGGCAAGGCAAGCATATGCAAAAGAACAGTTCTGTTGTCATATACAATAGCAAGAATCTGGAATAACTATATACAAGTCAGTGGAGTTCTTGGGAATTTTTGGTAGTGGGAACAGAAACTGGCCATGAGTCAATTTAAAACAAACACACACACACAAAAAAAAAAATGCAGAAAGACACCGTTGCAAGTCCAAGATCCTCCCAAACCCCTTGGTATCAGAGTAACCACTTAAAAATGTGTGGACACAAGCACTATTCATTTCAAATAAAGTCTTCTAAGGTCCTGGAGACACTCCACTACGCGTACAGTCCAAGACAGATCGAGTAGACTTAAAATTCTCTTTCCCAGCAAAACAACGGCTTTTAGAGATGATGACATCAAAAGTGCCAGTATAACTTCCATATGCCAGTAAATGTTGTACTTTGTCCTTTTCATTTTACAAGTTTCCCCCCTCTTGTGTCTATTCTCCCTTCGGATCAGCTTCCAGTCATCTCTTGGAAGCTGGAAAGATAGATTATCAGGAGTACACAATGCCCCATTATTCTTACAGTCCTCACTGAGTGCTGGACTGTGCACGCTTCTTTTTTCTTCTTAGGTCATTCACAGTATTAGACTAGTACCTTTTTTTGCCTTTTTTAAGAAAAATAAAAAGGGGGGGGGAACCCAGGCTACAACACCTAGACTGAGCTTTTTAACTAAGGAATGTCAACACCTTTAAGCATTTAAGACCACTAACCAAAGGTGGAAATCCTGCCTCAACCAGAAAGAAAATAATAGTGATAGAAAATTAGGACCTCATCAAAAACTACAGAAATTCCCACCAGATACCAGTCACATTCCTATTCTCATTTCTTCTTGTTCTCGTACTTTAGAGTGTTCCCTCTGCACCATTTAATCCAACTTGATGCTCCTGCTATGAAACCAGAAAACTGGCAAATAATCTTTGTTCTAAGCTGCCTTATAATCCAGTGGTGCCATAAAAACAATTCACATATTCAGTGCCTATGTTCAACAGTAGCCAGAGAAGAGCCATACAAGAAGTACCCAAGATTCATGTTTTGAAGGAATAAAGTAGCTTGCTTACTCTAACCAATTATGGTGCTCTAAAGACACAGTAAGTTTCAGTATTCGTGCTTGAAAACAATTACATTTTATTGCCATGTTAAGGTAGTTTGGTGGACACGCTAGAGACATGAGGATTTACAACTTTTCTGGAAATCCGTCACAGTCTGTTTGTATGAAAGATTAAATCCCGCCCTCCTCTCTCTGTGAGCAACTCCTGAAAACTTCTATTTGGAGATAAATCCACTCCCAGCAGGACTAAAAATTTCACAGTCACTTCTCTTCCTACAGCTCTGCGTTTTCACAGCACCTGCTACCTCATCGGTTTCATATTGCCATGATACTGCACTCACCATTTCATGCTTCCAGACAGCAGCCTTCAATGGAGAACTGTGATTTACTTCTTGCTAAGATAAATGCTTTCAACTTCACAACTATAGAGAGAGTTGTTTATTAAAATAATCAGCCTTGAAAGTTAAGCTTGAGACGAGCTTTAAACTATATCAAGGTTGGCTTTGCACTTGCTTATTATTTTAATGGGTAAATAAATAAAGGTCACACTTCTGATGATTCAAATCTGTTCCTTAAAGGTCACTCACTCCTTTTTGCTGTGTTCCAGCACCCGATAGGGTGGAGCAGAAACTCCTTTGGAACCATGTTGCTCCTGCACGATCGGCAGTGTAGCTGGAGTATAAATTTCTGGCATGTTGTCATTGTTCTCTAGGGCACCGTAGGAAAAAGAAGCTTTGAGGTCAGGCTGAACTGCAATCCCTTTATCGTGCATGTTCTGCATGCCTGAAAAGAGCAAAGACAGAGATTAAATGCTTAGGAACAAAAGTGCATTCTTCCCACATTCTGTTAAATCAGTCTCAGTGTTCATGATATCAACTCATCGGTTCCTTGAGTGTTAAATGAAAGACATAATGGTTTTCTGCTTAGCACTAAAGCAGCTAATGGAGACATAAGCTTCAAGTGAATGAGGGATGGCAGTCAGTTATTTATCAAGTGCTGCATATCTTTTATACAGCTCACCAGAAAGAGTTTAGCTGTACTTCTCAAAAGAAGTTTCTGCTCCTCCTGGCCTCTACCTCTTGCATCCTTATGTCAGCTTCTTCCTGCTGGATGAAGACCAAGCCCACTCCCAAGCATATGCTCAAAACTAGTTCATCTTCCCAGACGGCAGCCAACTGGACAAGGCTGTTCTGACAAAAAATGACATCCCCCCTGATGTCAGAGCACCCAGCCTAAGTGGCACATCACCTCTTCTCTGCTCCACGCAAAACATGCACATAGCTCTCACAAGGCACAAACAAACAAGAGAAAGAAAAACTAGAAAACAATACACCCGCCTGATACATCCGGATACTTAAGAGCCTAAAACTTGAGCTTTCACTGTGAAGCCCAACACTTAGAAGAGGAAAACTGATAAACCACTGTATTTTTACTGTTACCTGGCATAGCATCCATCGATATGTAAGGTTCAAACGGTACAGATTTCTTCCTATTTCTTGTGATCAGGAAGACACCTAGAAATGCTATGAGGCACCTGAGAGAGAAGACAAGATCTACTGAGATAACTGTGGAGAGGGAGAGAAGCTAATATTGCATGTTGCTTCTTCCAAGTGCCTATCATGTAGCACCATAAAGAATTCTGAACTGGAAGCAAAAGAACTGTAAAGTCAGAATCACAGGTAACTGTCTCAGCTGAATAACCCTTTCAACAGTATTGAAATCCACCTAGCAATCAGAACAATTTCACCTTTTCTTTATCAAAACACACGGAAGTTTTCATGTTAGTTAATTGACCTTGACTAACTAAAGGGGAAAGGAAGCATATCAAAATTTGGTTTTCTTTGATGAAATTCCAGGTTTCAGCAGCCTGACCTTTGAAAGGTTTCCCATAGGCAAACACACTAACAACTGTCAATCTTGATTTTTACAGTATGTTGACAGAGAAAGGGCGCAGTTCATAACATTAATCTCCCAATTGTTTTTTTTCTGTACTAATCTGAAAGACATTTCAGAATGTCCCCTGATTATGGAGAGCTAATCACATCAGTGTAAAAAGACACTGTACTAGGACTAAATACTGAGTTACACAGCAAATGTTTTACTGATCATATCTGCATTGTGTGAGTGCCCATGCCCTAAGAAACAGGACTCCAGAAGTCCAGTCACAGTTCAGTGAAGGCTCAGTGCAAAACCTGAAACAGATTCCCTAGAGATGGCTTCTTTTGGTTATTCTGCAATTCTTCTAGATTCATGAGCAGGGAGCTTGAAAAACAGCCCACAAGCTTCAACATCCAAGGGGATCTCCAGTACAGTCAGTAAGGGATTTAGTGTTTAATGTTGTACAGTTGTGGATAAACTAGTGTTATACAACTCCTCTAGAGCATCCATAATCATTCAGACAAGATACTGAGCTCTATGGGCCACTGTCTGCTCTAACAGAGTAAGTTTGCCCTCCTCTTCAAGACGGTATGTACGTCCAATATATCTATGGATGGATAGATAGATAGGTAGATACATATTTTTAAAATTTTAGTCATATGAAAAGATATTTTCCAGTTTTCCATCAAGGAAACTTTAAACACTTACCCAAGCGCAAACATACATATATGGAGAACATCTTCACCGGTGAAGTCCAAGTAAAAAGTTGCTCCTTTAAAAGGAAATAATTCATGACGTCTTTCTTCCCAGCTTACATGAGCAATTAGTGCTACATCTCCAGCACTAGTCCCTCCAAAACCCAAATCATGTAAGATTCCTATCTTTATAGTCAGCACCCTTCTTTGTTTATGAACTTTAAATAGAAAAAGGTGGCCTGATTTCTACTTTAACATAATTTACTGACAAATCTTTTGGAATTTCACTACCAAAATAGTTACACTGGTGTAATATAGATACAAGTAAATCTATAGAGCAGCACAGCAACTAGTACAAGTCTTTCCACATTGGGTAGGAGGATGCAAAGGAAACATTGCTGGAACTATTGCACGTCGCTGTGCTAATAAAGCCTGAGCCAAATTCTCACCATACAGCAGTGGTCAACACAAACAACAGAGACTGTATTTCTGAAGTCTGAATGACAAACCAAATTGCATCTCTCTAACTACAACAGGATACAAACTCTTGACCCCAAACAAGTATATACAGCTCAAACTTGTAAGATGACAAAGTGTCCTTGGTGTCCTGGATGTCAACAGGGCACGTATTCTGCCTCCTACTCTTTTTATTTGTAATTGAAGTAAATAAGCTGATGAATCCAAGAGCAGCATATGGCTTGGAACATGACAGGAAATAAATGGTAGCCAAAGAGTAGGCCATACTCTCTTATGACACTGAAGGAGAGTATTAAAAAGCAATGTGTAATTTAAGGGGGAAGCTATTGCCCTTATATACCTGAAAGAGCATTACTATTTACACAGGTAGTATTCATCACTCTCAAGCAGGTGTACTTTCTCCAGTGTTGGGGTTTTGGGTACCTTTGGTTGGTTGGTTGGGTTTTTTCCCCAGTTTTGTTCATCTGTCTTAAGTGAGGAGACAAAACCTTATAAAGGCTGCTCGTCAGGTTTGAAGCCTAAGGGGTTTAAAATGCTCATCTTTGTTCATGCAAAGCTTTTCTTACATGGTAAAGGGCTAAAATTGGAGTAAACTGTTCAGAAAGAAAAGTGCCTATAAAGCTGTGAGCAGCTGCAATCTAGATACAATGCAAACAAGGCTATCAGGAAGAGTATTCTAACACCTTTGTACAGAGGAAGCATATACATTTATACACTGTATCACATACATTTTAACAAAATCTAGGTAATATTACACAAGGAGAAATTTTAGTTGTGTATTCAAGTCGCACATCTAAGAGCATACATCACCCTCTTCTACACGCTAGCATGGTATGAGTAATAGTCTGAAACGTAAGTTCCCATGCACTTTAAACAAAATGACAGAAATAAAATTTTAACACAGTCTAATGGGATAATCCACGTTTTTGGAAAGAAAAATGAAACAAAGGCAGCTGCAGAGGAGAGATGACAAGAAAATACAAGTCATCACCTTGCTAAGTATTCACCTTCCTCTCCTGTAAGTGAGGATTATTTTCCAAAACCTTTTGCCCTTCTTTTAGAAAGGACCACCACAGTGTTGTGTGCACTGTTACCTGCTGTGATTGCTACCGTTGTGGACAGGATATAACCGATGCTGGCAATCTGAGATGAGTCATACAGCTGTGAGGCTTGAGCTAAAAATCTGCAATACAATGACAGAAAACGGGTTGATTTGCAAAGGATAATCAAACGTATAGCAGTTATCATGGACTAGTATACATCTCCTTTTTGGAAACACCTTTCAAAAGTGACACATAAATTTAAGAAACTTTATTCTCTTTCTCACTAAACCTGCAGCAGCATCCCTTGGAATTAATATAAATGATAGAACAGTAGGCCTTGTGGCCGTACTGACTGAAGACAGTGAAATTACTGCCACTGACCTTAGGGCCAGAATGTCACTCACATTTTAAATAGCTTTTTATCCCTGCTGCTACCAGCTTTTTATGTTATTACAAGTACAGAGGGATAAAAAAAAGAAATAGACACATCATCACCACCACTGATTCTGCACTTTGATTGTAGCCAGTGCACGGACACTGTAGTCAATTTGCCACCATTTTATTTCTAACATTGTTTTGCAAATACTTGAATGACACATAAGTTTGGGATTAAAACTACTTGGTAGTATCACTACATGGAAAAGCAAAAGAACACCCTATCCCAGGCTCCTGTGACATGGATTTCGGCACAGGTCACAGAAGAGAATGGATAATTCTTCTCCTAAAATTTAATCAGCATTCTTGGAATGGCTAACAAACAGCCCACTGATTACTGATCCACTGAAACCAGCACAATTATAGACAAAAAGAGAGTGAATGTCTTACGTTGCTTGAAAGATCGCTGTCGCAATCATGCACACCAACATGATATAAAATATAGGGTAGTCAAGTTGCAAGTTTCCTTGTATCGAGACAACAATCATGCCTGCCACAGCCTTCACCGTCACAACAGTCATGGAACCTGTGAATGTTTACCAAGACTCAGCTGAGGCGCTGATATGTGCTCAACGGGACAGGAAAGCTGCACATTTGCTCTGTACAAGACAGGCAGCTGCAAACCAAACCAAGATCTACAAGGACTTGAACCCTCCTTTTGCCAGGCCAAACAAGAGATGCAAACTCCTTATTTTATCGCCAACTCTGCCAGTTTTATTCCCAACAACTTCCCCACGGTGACCTTCAATAAATCACTTAACCTTTCTTCATCACAGTTCCCTTGTCTACAGGACTGGAAGCATTTACTGTTTTGTTTTGGTTTTTTTACATGTTTAAACAGTGTTGTGCAATCACATAACCGATACAAATTTTCATTTCTGATGCTATATCGGCTTGGTTAATAAAGCTAAGGAAGTTTTCAAAACAAGAATCAGAAAGAGCCTACTTCTTTTCTATTTCTTGAAAGCACAAGTCAGGGCCATTCAGAATTAGGGTAGTTGCTTTGCCCATAATTCATGCAGCCTCTGAGGTATCAGTTACTGAAATCCAGCCCCAAACAAAAGAAAAGAAAAAAGGGAAAAAAAAGACACTGCAGTAATTAAAGCTGCATAAATAGCAAAAGTTGAGGACTGTGACATAGATTCAACAGCATGTCAGACTGCGTCACTGCCTTGCTATTATTCACCCTTTTTAAAGTTTAATTGATCACAGTTTCTTAAAAAAACCAAACAGGTTAATGTGGAGGAAGGTACAAGTGAAATCCTGGCCCTTCCAAAGTCACGGTAGGATCCCACTGTAGGCTATGAGGATATCAAAAGTATCATTTGACCCCAATTTAAATAGGGACATACTGGCATGTCAGAGTATTTCTTTAGCCACCAGCAAATCTTCCCAGAGCCAAGAAGATTCTTGTAGGTCGAATCCTCTCTTTCATCCACTGAATCAGCCTTCCTTATCCATTGAATAGACAAGGCATCATACCACGCTTTGCATGCACAGATTAAAATGAAGAACACAAATAACTTGCACTTTCGGTATTTTGCAGATTATTCGTCCTTATGGGAAATAAGTCTTAATCATTCAAAGGTCATTTTCAAAAATCCTAAACATCACTGCAAGATATTAGCTTCATCTCATTTGTAGTAACATTTCTGGAGTAGATTGGTGCATTTTATGACATTAATTAGGTCAATACAATTCCCTATATGCCACAGATGATTCAATTTACTATAGTTTACTGTTATAAGCCAGAGTTAGAAGATCTTGCAAGTCCGTATCAACTTACCCAGCAAAGCTACCAGCAGAAGAATAACTACAATGTAGTTTGCATTTTTCTCCTTGTAAAAATATAGTAGTAGGCAGAATATGATGATCTCCACAAGCTACAAAAGATAGAAATGAGAATATTAAAAAATGCAGGGTATACAGGGTTGGCAGTAACCAGAATTCTGAGCCAGCCAAACACTACAATTACACAATAGGGCAGATCAAAGGAAAATGAGGATCCCACACAATTATAGATCAAATTTAGCATGATCTTAGATTCTAATTAGATGAGATATTGAATAGCTTCTTGCAGAAGATGAAACATGGGACATTTTTGACATTATATTCATGGTAAAGCAGCAGATCAAATAATCCTGACTGAATATTCACATCAGAGATAGCCTGCTTTCCATAATGAGGTTATTTAAGTGATCCCTGGAGCACACATTTTATTTAATGGCCAAACTTATCTCCATTAGAAAAATTATAGATTTCGTAAGATTTTCAATGACAAAATGATGGCTCCAGAGAAAGTCAGTCTAGAAAAAGCCCAGTTGCAAGCACAGTATTTGGACACTTCTGGAGCAGCTGCTCTCAGCTGCCATCAGTACTGCTGCCACAGGCTGAAGCTTACAGGTCAGGGAGAGAACAAGCTATTCTAAAACTTTTCAGTTAAAGATACTTAAGTCCTAACAGAATAATTCAGAGAGAGAATTGGAGAGTTCCAAATTGTGCATGCATGTGTCCACATGCAATGTGGAACTGACACTAGGAAAAGCTGGCATAGGTTCATTAGCAAGTACAAGGAATGTTGGTAGTAACCATAAGGAAAAATAATGCTTGAAATGAAACTCTGAATCAGGCATATAGCAGAAAACTGTCCATGTTTTATGGGCCATCTTACCATATACAAGAGAAATGGCCAGCTCACTAAATGCCTAGTGATATTTTCTCCTGTCATCTTCTCATGACTATTAGGTCCAAAAGTTATCAGCAGGTAAGTTCCAACAATTGCCAAACCACAGCCTACAAAGGACAAAACATAGCGCCCTTTGGCAACCAAAGGACAAAAAAAAAAAAGAAAAAAAAGAGAGGACAAAGTTAGTGTGTTAGTGTGGATGCATGGAATTAATATCGCACATGCACAGTGACCATTAATGACATCATGCATATTCCTCTGGATGACTCATTCCTCTGCCCTTCATGCCCCACTTTCAAAATACTAGAACAAAAAAAACCCTAGGCAATGTGTGTGCCGTGAGTTGAGAAAAAGCCTTATACCAGGTAGCATCTGCTAAACAAACAGGAGCTACAAGATCTATATCTGGAGCTTATCCTGCCTGGCACTGCCCACAGCCCTTTTTCCAGGAAATGGAAGAATGAATGCCCCAGTTCTGCAAACACCTGCACATGTATGAAATTCAGTTGATTCAGTTGTGCCTACGCTATTGCAGAGTCGAGGCCCTAGGCTGCAACTTCAGCCCAGAGAACCATGATTCACAAATCCTGCAAACACCGTTTCCATGTATTTCTAAAAATCTGTGCAATTCAGATGAGTTGGTACAGTCAGAAAAAAAAAAATCCATTTTTAACAAACAGTGGATGAGAAGATACATTTCTTTGAAGAGGTACTATAGCTAATGAGGATCTTGCCACTCCTCTAATTATGACTCTTGAGAGGCCATGTATGTGTTGAATGGCTTGTAAACACAGAGGAAAAGCATAAAGGAACCGTGGAACTTACTCAAAAAATCCTTGGGCTTCCATTTTTCTTTAATAAATATAATTCCTATGATTGCACTAGCTATAAAAAAAAAAAAAAAGAGAGAAAAACAGTGAGTTTTGTATCAGTCCAATGATTAACAATCTCACACTGTAACACACTCAGACTTGCATGGCCGTTGCCTCTTTCCCCCTTACCTATAACAGACACTGCACTGAGTGGCACAATCAGTGAAAGAGGAGCAAAGGCGTAAGAGGAAAACACTCCCAGTTCTCCCAGCACCAGCAGAAACAGTCCACACCACCACGTCTTGGTTTTGAAGTAGGCTCGGGGGTCTTTGGAACCTGCCAGCCGGATGTGGCTGTATTTCTAGAAAAGAAAATAAAGGCAAAACAGCTTTGACATGCTTAATGCTTTCTAACGCAGGATGCTTGAAGCACAATCAATATTTGCTTCATGATACTGACCTGGAGGTTGAGTGCAATACTGATAACAAGATGTCCAAAAATAGCTAGTAATGCACCAATCAAGTTTTCCTGTAAAAACAAAGTAAACACACAGATATTAAATTTAGCCACTGGACCTCAAAGGAAGTTAGAGCTTTTTGCACTGGAAGACAGCAGACTTAAAACAGTTCCCAGATCACCTGTCAGTAACATCTGTTTGTCTTCCTCCCTTTCTACATGATCTAGGGCAATTCAGGTAAGTTCCCTATGGTTATGTTCCAAATCTCTGAAACTCAGGTGAAAGATAACCCTTCCTTAACAGACACTTTCAACAAGAGACTTAAATTAGTGTGCATATATTTGCATTCTTTGTAGGCTAAACATAATAACCCATTCACTCATTCTTCCCTTTGAAAAACTCTTTTCATGAGGATGTTTGTTGCCCTGGAATTCAGCAGAGTACTGCAGGTCACATCTTAAGAACGATTCTGCTCTTCTCCACTTATAACATCTGCTGGTTCAGTAGGTAATTCAGCCCATTTGATGACGCACCCCAATTATCACAGATTTTATGCTGCTTTTTATATGAACCAGTTATTCCAAAGTAATAGGCAACTGGTAGCAACCCCTAGCAAGCTCCCAACCCCTTCTACATTAGCATTCCCAGCTCAGCAATAATTCTCACGGTCTAAAGACAGAATTTGAAATAAAAAAGGATGTAAAGCAGGCTGAGTCACAAAGGAAATGTACATTAGGAGTGAACAGAATAGCCTGAGGCTAAACCAGGCCATTTAGCATTTGTCTTCTTCCAACAACTGTCTAAATTTCATTAGATGTCATTAGCACTTTTCATTTCAGTGCTGGTCTCCAAGATACAGTCTAGTACTTACTTTAATTGATTTGGGATAACCGACCTCACATTTGTATATTCACTGTTAAGGGAGGAATATTACTCTTGATTTTCTCATACATAGTAAGACAAGGACTTTAAGATTTCAAGTTCTTGTCAGCGGAACAAAAATCTCTTTATCAGGATGTATGAAAATAACATTCATCCAAGCAGCTTCATTGAAAAACACCTGAGAGATCTTCCCACAAAGGACAGTAAAGTTGGCAGAAAAATGTCACTGTACGATCACAGATGTAGCCAGAGAAGCTCTGCGCAGTTTACTAGTTCAGCAACTGGACTTCAGTTTAGAAGACATGGGGAAGATGATGTCTCAGCTGAAAAGCCTCTAAGTGCAGTGCAGGTTTGGGATTGGCTTCTGGACTGTGAAAGCCTGCAAGCCAACAACAGTCTGGTCAACTTTTACAATGTGCCTATGACTGTGGTCTCAGCAAAGTACTTTTTCCACTGAAAAAAAGCCCTTCTTGCTGTGAACTTCTGAGCACCTTCAGAATCACAGATTCAGAGGAAACTGATTTGGGAACAGCTCCGCTCCCACTTGTAGAATAAAGGAGGAACTACAGCAACACAGCCTGTCTCAGCTGCAGGCTCTCCGCAGGACTCTGGGCTGACCCACTTGACATTCAAGCACTTGAATATCCATTAGACCAGAACATCTGATCTCAATTACTGATGTATGGTTGAGTCTAAAAAGGCACCTAGCAGAATTTACTGCACCTAACCACCTCTAGACATACGCATCTTTTAACTGCCAGTCCTTTCTTCACTTTGTCTAGCTCTTCAAGACACAGAATTTCTCTTCCTTTCTTTCTCTCACTGCTTATATACACAGCATATAACACACTGGGGCCTCCAGGCACGGCTAAATACAAAGACAGTGCACTCTCTGCAAAAAAAAGAACCAAAATACAGCGGCATTATCAGTTTACTTAAATAGTTAGGGCCTTCTAGGGACAGACTGGAGTAGAAATCTGACCTTGTAAGAAAAGGAGTCAGCATGTGACTGCACAGAAACAGCTGCTGTGGCCAATGGGAGTTGCTGAAGTTGCAGATTTAGACTGTTGCCTCCTTCCATTTTGGCTGATTGGAGCGTTTGCTTTTCAGCCTCTTTGATGCTGGAGCTTGTCTTTAAAGAACAGACTTGGACCCTGCTGGAACTGCCTTATCTGTAACTTGGTACCATTTCTTCCCATCCATCCTGTTTTCTTGGACAAGCAACAATTACTTCAGTGAACCACTAAAAAATTCTCTGTAGCCTGTCTGCTGCTTTTCTTCCCCTGCCAGGCTACACTGATGTAGGGTAGGCACCATAGGCAGAAGTGCAGATGAACCAATATTTCCAGCGAGTCAGTGGGGAAGCAAGGTTATAGTCCTCCAAGGTGATACTAAGGAGAGAAAAAAAAAAAAAGTCAAATTAACATAATGGTCCAAAACCTGCAGTGAAATCCTGTTGAAGGATAGGCCACAGAAAACTACCTGGAATCAAACTAACAGCTGCACATATCAGCACAGAAAGTAGATTTTAAATACCTTCTTAAAAAGTCTCAAACACAGAAACTCGCACAGACCTTGCTTCACAAGAGCTCGCAAACTAGCTTGGCATCAAGGGGGACATATTCAGCTGGCATTTAATGTCAGGCCTTGCCATTTGGAAAGCTCTTATCAAAAAGTCACTGAAGTCCTCCAAGCCCTGCTTTTATTTCCCTACTGCCTGCGTACCTCTGTTGTTTGTTCAGGACGCAGCATTACATTGGTCACGCCATCCCCATGTGCTGGAGATGACAGTGCTACTCTTCATGCAGAAGGGGTCATTTCAGTGTAATTGCTGTAAGCAAAGTTTAAAGGCTAAATTCCTTAGAGCCTGACTCATTATAGGCATCTGGAAAGCACCACACACAGCAAGCCTGTCTGAGGTCCCTGCACCAAAGGCTCCTTTCACCAAAGACCTCAAGGAGCATCAGCATCACACCCTGATTTGTACAGAGTGGGATGCTGGTGTATAGACATTGCAGGGGTGTGATCCTCACAAGCGACACATCCTTCTCAGCCCACTCAAAGACTACCTGAAACAGTGCAGGCTGAGCATCCCTCAGACTCAGACCCTGGACAACTGGCCTGTGGTCACATCCTGAGGTAGCAGGACCCATCCCATGCTCAGGGTGCGAACTGCAAGGTCTCTTGGCCAACCTGGGCCTGCAAGGGATTACCTTAACTCATGGTTGGGGGGCAGTACCCAGCCGTGAAAGCGCAATAACACCCCGCTGCGAGGGGAGGGGGTGGGCAAAGCCCCCCCGTGGTGAGGAAACCCTGCCCGGGCACAGCAGAGCCTGGCTGAGGGTAGGGGGTGCCCCCAGGACACCCTCCCCGGGTCA